TTCAAGGTTGGACATAGAAAAGTCAAGTGGGAAAAGGACCAAATGAGAACATTTATTTCTGAAATCAAATGGAAGAAAAGTAGGGGATGTCAAGGTTCCTAAGGGAAACCTCGGTGACTTTCTAAATTATTATATTATTTGGCTTCAATTTTGAGAAGTTATTTGGTGTTTCATTCTGTCATTTTTATCATTTATGACTTATATTTGTATTATACGGTCATACAAATAATCTGAAAGATAGGAGGATTTACGTCGTATCGGACGATGACCTCGGAGCATAAAACGAGTTAAGGCTTAGATTACACAACATGACTATGCAAAGGCCTAAAAGATAAGGTGAGGATTTATGTCGCGCTAGACAGACTACCTCGAAGTCCTATGACTTGTTATTTAAACTGAGAAAATGTTTAGCTGATGTAGACTTATTTTGCTGTTGTAGATCGTCATCCTCTGTCTGCTATGGTTTCGCTGTGTTGCCCACAAAGACTTGCTCCATGCTCCATGTCGCAGCGGCTTTAGGTTTAGTGTTTTGTCTTATATTTTTTTTAATTTCAATCACTATTAATCTAATTAACTAAAGGGTGTCTTCAGGTTTTATAGTGATCCACCGTAGGTAAACCGACTATTGTTTTCTATCCTGAAGTTATTGTAATTAATTTAAAGCATGTATAAACAAAATATGCTATAAGTGTAGTAAAAGAAAACAGTGTAAAGAATAGTAAAGAAATGTAGTAAAATGTGCGGTAAAGATAAAAAATGTGCAATAAAAGGAGTGTTGAAAAAAAAGTTACTGTGAATATAATATAAACATGTGTACCTGGCGTGTCTGCTTTGCCTGCAAATGGGGTTAGTGCCGCAGGTAAAAGTAAAGAAGTGTCACAAGTAAGTGTGAACAAGTATCGCAGAAAATTTAGTTAGCAGGGCAAACATGCACGTATATGTAATAGTCTAATGACAAATCATCTCATGGAAAACTCGAAAAAAAACCGCAAGTGACTCACAAAATAAACTCGGAGAAAACCGGAAGGAAATACAGGGGAAACCCGAATAAAATAAATATGGGTAGCACTTTTGTCGTGGTAGCAAAGGGGAAATATGATGATCTTGGCTTAACTTATGATGTTGACCAGAATGAAATGTAAAACTTTTGATGAAAAGTTTTTCTTTATTCACACTTGAGCTTGATACAAAGTTTGAACTCACTTCCTTGTTGTTATGCTTCACAATTCATCAAATTTATTAATGAAGATAAGAGTTTCTCTAGTCGATATTTAATACTTGTTCAAACCTTGTTAAATTGGATAAACTTGTGCTTCTGTTGCTGTTAGACTGACAAATGAGGCTCTTCACTGCAGCTTTGGTTTATTATGTGAAGAGAAAGGGCAGTAACTCGGCCACATCTTAGCTTGATGAGTCTGGCCTATGTTCGAGTCTTTGACCTGAGCAATAAATAGTCTTTTGCTATGTCATCATCAGTCTGATAAACAAAGCTCTTCACTACAACTTTGGCTTGTTGACTAATGAGAAAAACAAAAAATTCAGCCACATCTCGGTTTGTTGAGTTCGACATCCGTTTGAATTGTAGACTTGAGCAAAAAATAATCTTTGTTTTGTCATTATCAAACTGACAAACAAGGCACTTCATTGTAATCTTGGCATGTTGAGTGAAGACAAAAGCCAGTAGCTCGACCAAATCTCAGTTTGTTAAGTCTGTCCTCCGCTTGAGTCAATAGGCTTAAGCAAAAGAGGATTTATACTTATCCAACTTAACAAGCTGAAACTTGTAGATTTTGATAGATTTTCTTGACGGGCATTTGAAATCTTAGCTGGCTTTGAAGAAAAATCTCTAACCTTTAGAATCATTTTATACATATTTTTTGAACCTTTTTATTTTGGATTACCAAAATAAACACAACTTTATTATTGACAAAATGAACATCCTCTCAGGGATCTTGACATAAAGCACGATGTGACCCAATTTACTTGGGGATCTTGACCATGACCAAAAGATAGACCCAAATGGAGGAAAATATCGTTTTTAGGCGTGATGTTGACCCTTCTGACTAGAGAATGTCGACCTTGAATATGATATTTAGCCAAATAGGACGACCCCCAGTTCGATAAAAAAGGGACTTCAATGTTTAGGGCACTCGATAGTCTCAGCTTTTGGCATGATGTTAACTTGAATGCGAAAAGACTTCAAAATGTTTATCCCTTATCAACATAGAATTTTAACTTGGAGCTCAGTGCCACCTCTAATGACAGTCTTCCTTTGGCAAACAGGTGCTTTCAACACTTGGTAGATATATATGGGGTTTTCGACATTTAACATCTTCTCGTCATTAAAACCTTTTGACAAATTTGAAATCCTATATGCTTTAACAAACCAAATTTCAGGTCATTGGTTTTAGCAGAAAGTGCTTAACATTGTTGAGCCCGAACAAATTTCTCATTATCACTAGTAGAGCTGTTCTTTTAACCAATTTTAGATTTTTTATTTGGCTGCTGGTAGGAATACTCACTTTCAGGACTCAGATAAAGTTTACCTTTCTATTGCGACCTTTAAGTGGTAGATTCCTTGGTTAAGATCCACAGGTTATACCCCAATGTTCTCCAAACAGAGTCTATTTTTCTATTGGGATCTTTCAACTACAGATTCTTGAATTGCAATCCATTGGTCGTGCACTGATGCTCACCATATAAATTATATTTTAGTTGGAAACTTTTG